TAGTCATATCTGAAAAATGTTTCGAGTTATTTGGTCCTATAATTCTACAACAGGTTCTCTAGAGCTATACAAAAAAAGAGAGGAAGCATAGGAAAAACTTCGAAAATATTGGCTACTTCTGACAAAATTACTGTGAAAAACGTAAAGAATAGAATAATTTTTTTTTTCAGCGAAAATTTCACGAAAAAATTAAATAAAGTTAAACCATCTCGTTCCTTAGCTGAAAATGTATATACGCCTTTTTTTTTATCAAACTGATTATAAGTTCGACCAGGCCCACAATCGGGTAGCCCGGTGGTGAAAAATCAGAACCGACGTATCCGGGCGGACCACCTTCCGAAATATTCTTAGTGCTGTATATTAATGGACTGTGGATCCGTACATGATTCTATACAAGGTTATCCAGAGTGTTAAGCTGTAATCGTAACGTTCCATCTATAAAAGTTTAAATTATGTATTTAAAAAAATGGTCCTACAATTTAATAATTTATCAAAATTTTCTCTAATTGTATTAGTGTATTCCGAAAGCATAATCTTAAGACGACGATATGAGTAAAATTAAAAATTAAATAAAAGCCTAAAATAAAGATTTAACATTATTTTAAGCTCGTATGTAATCTATAATTACACTAAAATTATCACTTCCAATTCATTTACCATTCGTTAATCAAACATTCGTTTATTATTGAACCCAATCATTCATTTACCATCGGAACGAATTACTTAGTTACCATTTAATCGAACCATTTATTTACCATTGAATGAAACACATACTTACCATTCAATCGAACCACTAACTTATCATTGAATCTAACCATGCATTTAGTATTTCAAATTATGATAAATGAAATCGTGAAATAAAAGNAACAGAATCAACTCAGTTTTTTACGAACACTGCACGACCCACAACTGCAAAATAGATAAAAAGGATGCAACAATAGTACACAAAGAAAAAAATTGGTACAAAAGGAAATTCAAAGAAAGCTACGAAATTACTATAGACAAAAATAATATTAACAAGGACCTTAGCATCGACATCCATAAAAACAGGCTTCAATTATTAAAATAAAATAGAATATTTATACAGTCGCAGGCGAGGCTGTCTGCAACACTCGGAGAAGGGAAATGTTACAAATTACGAGGCATGCGGGGGAGTCTGTCAAGTCGGGAAAAAAGAGGGGAGGGGAGGGGAAGGGAGCGGGAAGTACGGACACACAAGTCACAACTATCAACGTAACAGACTGAAGAGGGGCGAAAGCCCGAAACGCGTTTCTGTAAGAAGTAAATGTAGGTGATGGAATTATTTGCCAAGTGTCTATAAATGCACCAAGTCGTGACATAGAATCAGAAGAAACAAGAAAAAAAAGACACGGTTTCGACAAATAACTAAAACTTTGTTTTTTCTTAAGCAGCTCGATTTGAATTAATGACAGCAACACAAAGAGAGCTATCTGAGTAACTCCCCCTTTTACAAACGCAAATTGTGTATTATTTCTGTATTCGCCACTGTCCAGTAATTAAATTTATTAGCTAATATTGCAGTGAATACTTTCCGTAGACAGGACGTTAATTCCTGTTTGTTTCCTTGTTTAAATATCATAGTAAATATAACTTCGTTACACTTTGCCGTTATTATACTATTACTGTACAATTGATTAAATTGCCTTTGTTAAATATCGTATGATATCTATTGGCAACATTTTGATGAGTGAACTGGTGTTGTGTTCGATCCCGGTGTCGATTTATCTTTAAGTTTTTTAATACAATCCTGTAGTTCATCCATTTCGATTATCTCATCTTGCTGAATTTCTGGTCTTATCTTAGTAACAATATATTTTTTACAAACATTTTTCTAATAATTTTAAAAAAATTTATTATAGTATTTAAGAAAAACGTTATATTCTACTCTAGTCTGTTTTTCCAACCCTAACTTTCTTTTACGTAAACTATTAATTATTCTCCAGAAGGCTCTCGAATCATCAGCTGCTGATAATTTCTTGCTGATTTTTGAAAAATATAATTTTTTCTTGGCTTCAATTAAATTGTTATACATTTTTTAATACTTTAAATAATTCTTTAGTGCTTTATTGGTATTTGTTCTTCTAAAGATTTGTAAACACTTTTGTTTTTTAGTTTTGTAGCCATAACAAGTACTATTATACCATTTACATTTGAATATTCTTCCGTTTTGTTGTGTGGGTAGCCTGAGGTAGGACGAGGTCGTACCTCTTTTTGATAGACACCAGTTCGGTGAGAACTGCCTATTGGTCAGTGGATCGCTTAGGGAATGCTTTTTCTATCCCGTAAAGTCGGGATTCTTTTGTCAGGTCGAGTGGAGGAAGTGAGAGGGGTCGACGGTAAAGCGTTAACGATACCCGAAATAAAGACGACCTTTTAATAAACAAACAAACATTTATTCAGACAACCTAATCCTATCATACAATGACTAACTACTTGCGCGTTTTTCGAAGGGACCGCGCCGAGAGAGAGTGTACAATATCGGGTCATACCTCGGATGAACTTTCGGTCTATGTCTTGCTTGAAGGGTTACTCGGATCGAGGCTCCTGATCGGGTAGGTATGCGGTCGTTTCTCGGGAGCGTCCCAGGGTTCGTCGGCGTGGCGGTCGGGTGGCGTCCTGGATCTGGGTAAACGAAATCGAACCCCCCTTCCGTGCGGCACCTGGTCTTTTATACCTTCGGGTCTCGTGGCCGGGTTTCACCAATCGTAGATTTTTTTAAAAGATGTCCGGGTGATTCAGTTTCGGGTTCCGTTGGGAAAGGAAGTCACTCCGGGGCACGGAAGGATAGATTTCCTCCCAGGGAGAATTTTAACACAAAGAAAAACTGAGAGTTTCGATGTTAATAATAAGTGATTGTTTAATATTAAACATTTTATTTTTAATTAACTCGGTCTATTTCTCACATTGCTTCGGCCTTTCGAAAATCGTACTTGGTCTTAATGAGCAAGTTCGATTTTTTTTTTCGGGTTAGGAGGGAGAAATTGGATTGATTGAGGTATGAGGAACATGACAATATATACATAATGTACTCTCTCTTTTAAATTTACAATTTTTTCCCCGGATAAAGAAATATTTGAGGTACAATTGAATTTTACATATAGATAGATATATAGATAGGTGGTGACGTGGAGTTTGACATTTATTGTAATTGTGATCTTATTTATAGATTGTTAATTACAAACAGGAGGTGAACAGTTGATTTACAGCTATAGGGGAAATACTCTCCCTGGTAGCTATATATTTCCTCGTTGTCGATTGGATTGTTTAAGTTCCGGTAGATCGGGTTGCGAGGCTACTAGTTTACAGTTCGAAGAAGTGTTGTTTGTGTTTCTTCCTTTGTTCTCGGAGGTTAGATAGAAGGTCACTACTTCACTGGAGTTACTAGTCATGAAGAGTTTTCCCTTGGATATATTATCGGGTGATGTATTTCCTTCGCTGCGACGACATCGATAAGGGTTATTTTGGAATTTAACCGGAACGTTGATGTGGTTGGCTTGGGTCTGGTCATGGACTAGGAGTCTTCGACTTCAAAGGAAACACTGTTCTCATATGCAAAGTAAGTATTAATAATAATGGTTGAATAAAAGTTTATTAATTTAGACCGGTATAGAGGTATGACTGGTTATACAAAATTCGCGATGTTACTCTCTCTCGAAAAACTAAGGTTAAGAATTAATCAGAATTTATCCTTACGGTATTTATTATTACGATTAACGAAGGTGTTTAATATAAGTAGCTCGGGAAAGAAAGACTTCAAATAATAATAAAAATTAGGTTTATTAGGAAATAAAATGGACTGATACAATTCGTAATTTAGCATACATATATACTGGATTCAGCCTTGAAATATAGGGAAATAATGTGAGTTGGATATAAGGAATATACTATATAATATAAAAATACCAGATAAACACAAAAATATAGATATACGCATATATATTGGGATACAGATTATGCAGATCAAAAAGGGTATCGATATAGAGGAAAAAAAATATAATATGGTGTTAACAATTAATAGGGGGCCTATGGTCTATGTTGGGAGTGGCNCGGAACATACTAGATGGCCATTTTTACATTGAAAAGCGGGCGCTTGCAGCAGGTTGTAGCAGACTGGACATGTCAGTAAAGAAGTTATTGTATCCTCACCGCTGGGGGAAGCCATGTTGCCTAAAAAGGGAAAAGGATATATCAGGAAATGGAAATTGCAAACCTCTAATATGGGAAAATACTCTGCTCTATCGTGAGAATAAGCTAGCTAATCCGGGAAAGACAAAGATTTTGGTTATGGGCTACCGTTGGTTATTAGTACGACTGAACAATAGATTTCCGACTTCGTGGCGCCTGGTCGCTCTGAAGTGGGACTCCTCGGGGGGAACGTCTTCGGGTCCCCTCGAGGCTGAGTTTCCCTCCTCTCTACTTGTCATAGGTATTTCTTCCGGATCGGCTTGGGTTGAAGGTGGAGGGACCGCACGTTCAGTCTTCTTATANTATAATATAGAAATACCAGATAAACACAAAAATATAGATATACGCATATATATTGGGATACAGATTATGCAGATCAAAAAGGGTATCGATATAGAGGAAAAAAAATATAATATGGTGTTAACAATTAATAGGGGGCCTATGGTCTATGTTGGGAGTGGCAGGGCCGGGAGCGTCCTCATATTCGTGGGGTTTGGAAAATAGGTGTTCTTGATGCATGTGGAGTAGGGAAAGTTGTTCTCTCTGCATAAAATTGTTCCGTGAGTCGGGCCTCTTCACAGAGATCGGCCTCAGCATTGCTCGGACATTTATGATTGAGGGGTAATATAAGGGTGGCTGGTGTCTTTCCATTTTCCCTTTGTATTTTGGCGAAAGCTAATGCAGTCCGCAAGGCCGCTTGATCGACCTCGGGTTGGATAGGCGGATTGGAAGGTGTTGGGTCGTTATCCCACCACTCGTCAGAAGCGTTCATCTGAAACAGTTAGAAGTGGGTGTTAGGTGGGAGTAATGGATAAAAAAAATTTAAAATTATGGTGGGCACCAAACGAATAAACAATATCGCTGGATAACTCTAAAGGGGGCTGAGCCGGGGATAGGGTGGAAGCTCCAAATGAAGGAATATGGGTAGACGTCCACTGTAAAGAGTGGGATTTCTTTTTGAAGGCAACAAAATAGGTAAAGTTAGTAGAGGGAAGAGATATCGTTAGTAAGTGTACGGTGATGGTGAAGGTCGGAAGCTCATAAGGATGTTTAGTGACACATACGAAAAATTGTTGATTGTAACATGATAGAATGGTGGCCCATTTTAGGCGGTTGGGTTGGTTTGAGTGTACCCCCATGAAGAGAAGTGAGGATCGAGAAAAAGTAGGGATTTGGGGATGGGAGCGGGTAAAATGGGAGCTGAGAGAAGAAAGATCTCCCTCCCATGAACACCCTTGGTCGCTACACGGGCACGATACGGGCCGATATGGACAATTTCTTTGATGTTCCTCCCGAAATCTTTCGAGGAGTAGCTCCGGACATCCGTAATTTTTGTTTGCACACGGGAACCTTAATGTAGCGGTGAGTTGATCCACAATCAGACTTCGTATGTCTCCCATGGGTTCCCTACAGGAAGGGCAGTGCGTAATTCGCTGTCTGCAGCCGGAACATACTAGATGGCCATTTTTACATTGGAAAGCGGGCGCTTGCAGCAGGTTGTAGCAGACGGGACATGTCAGTAAAGAAGTTATTGTATCCTCACCGCTGGGGGAAGCCATGTTGCCTAAAAAAGGAAAAGGATATATCAGGAAATGGAAATTGCAAACCTCTAATATGGGAAAATACTCTGCTCTACCGTAAGAATAAACTAGCTAATCCGGGGAAAGGCAAAATCCAGATATGAAACATAATGGTTATTAGTACGATCGAACTATGGGTTTTCGAATTTGTTGGGCGGAGTTGCCTTGAGGCGGTACGTCTTGGGAAGGGACGACTTCGGGTTCCCGGGAGGTTGAGCCTCCCTCTTCTCTAATATTCATGGGGATTTCCTCCGGATGGGATTGGGTAGAAGGCTGAGTGACCGTACGTCGAGTCTTTCTATACTGAATACAATAATATCTAATACTAAGGAGGCAAATTATCCCTATAATAAATCCTAGCCCTCCGATAACGATTTTTATGATAACTAGAGCGTCACCCTGGGGAACTGATCCACTTGTTCTTCGAATCAAGTGGTTAAGGTCATATTGAACTACCGCCAAATCTCGCTCAGCTACTGTTATATCATAATTAGGATGGACATCGGAATTTTGTAGTTTCGGGTTATCCTCTATGAGACGTTGTTGCAATTGTTGTATCTCCGTTTGATTTAATATTTGTTCGAGAGGAGGGATTAGTATTTGTTGCGCAATCTCCAGTTGTAGGGTTGATTGTTGTTGAAAGTGTGGGGTAAGAATGATTCCGGGCAAGAAGCCGGTACAGGCATTTGGTAAGGTAATCATTCCGGTGTAGTTTAATTTTTGGGTGGTGGTTAGGAAAGGGGATTTCTGATGCCGAACAGGACATCGGAGAGTTAACGAGAGTGGCTCGGGGATGGAGTAAATCCATACTCCGGGACGCTGTATACGCTTAAAAATGGGACTATATTTCGTGACTATATGTCGGGTGCAAAGTTCCTTGACTTTAATTTCATTTCCACTAAACAATGCGTATTCACAACTCTGGTGAGGCGTTCTTTGAATGGGAACATCCAAAGAACAGAGGGAAAAATGGGCATTTTGACATATTGCGAACTCGTGTCTTTGTAATAACATATAAGATTGTCTGTCCATGGAGAGGGCGATAATAGGATAATTGGGTTGGATTTGTACAAAAGTTTTTAAGGCAGGTATGTAAGTGGGGAACTTTACTATTTCATACATATCAAAGTATCCACTAGGCGTAATTAAAGGAATCTTGGCGAAAATTCTCAACCGCCCGGGTAAGGCGACTGCAATCGCGGAAATCCACTGATAGTATTTAAACAAGGTCTCGCGTTGGATAGGTTCAATCATCGCGTAACCTTTTGGAAGTTGGGTTTGGATCTCTCGCAGGGTTTTAAATAGAATTTCCCGGGATATAAAATAGGTGCCTAGCCGGGTTTGTTCGAGCGTATCTATCGCTTCTCGTAGCTCGATCATTTGAAAGTGGAATTCTTGAATGGAAAATTCTACGGTTCGTAGAATAATTTCAAAAGCCAGATTATACCGGTACGAGTTCATGACCTCTCCCAAGGACTCTTGTCGCTTTGATAAGACATAAATTTGGTGTCGGTTGTTTTTACTAATATTTAAAGTATCATTGAGGAGGGTAGTTTGCGCTTGTAATAAATGGATAATACCTTCATTACGCTGTTTAATTTGGGAAATCTCCTTATTCAAAGTCTCAATGTCCTCAGTCGTAGCAGTCCCAAAAAGGACTTTAAGGGCTTTCCCCCCTAAGTCTATCAAACCTCTCTTTCTCTTAACAGGGATAGGTAAGGTGATTAGGGTTTGTAGTTCTCGATATTCCTTTAAGTAGTTAAGGAAGGAGTTCTTTATCAACTCATAACCTTTGGTAGGCAGTGGAGGGGTGCCATTATTAGGGAGAAATTGATCTTGACGTTCAATTATCGCCTCCAAATAGGAAAGAGAGTGGGATATGAATTGAACCTGTCGTTCCACATGTTCAAAGGTGAGGTCATTAACTAAAGTCCAATGGCTCGAAGACATCAAGAAATTTCCTTGATGCAAGAAAACTACTCCTTTCGTAAATTCGATTGGTTTCAAGGGAGATTCCAGAGCAGTACATTTTATACTTAGGAAAAGCAGGAGAGTTTGGGGAAGAACCATCCTGATTTCGAATAGGGTTTATCTCCGGGGTAGTGGTTTCCCGGTTTCCCTGTAACAGGGAAATAAGTATATTAATATTAACATCATAATCGGGGTACTAAAGGAATTGATAAGATATTAATTAGATATAGTTAGGTATTGTTCTAATTAGTATTTAGTAGGGTATTTTCTTCGGAAGTTAAGGAGACGAGGACCGACTAGTGGCAGGAGAAATGAAACGAGGGATTCGGCTACGGCTAGGTCGTGGCATAACCCATGGTTGGTCGTCTACTGGTCCTCGGCTTCGTAGGGCATAAGGGGTGTAGTCTCCTGTTCTGCTTCTGGTTCGAGTTCGGAGATATCTGTTTCTGGCTCGAGTTCGTCGCTTTCCACTTTCACTTTCTGGTTCGGGCGATTCCTCTGGTAGGTGGGTAGGGATAGAAGACAAGATAAACTCATCCCACGGATCTGTATATAAAGCTTGCTGGTCGTGCGTCACGGGTGGCAAATTATTTCCTGTCGAGGCGTCGAGAGTACTGGGTTGATCGACAATTATGTCGGGTTCTAAGTTATATTCTTTTCTAGCCGTCGTGGGTTTAATTCGATCCGCATGTACGTTTAATTTCCTCCTCGTGTTGATATTTTCGATCCTAAAATTAACTGGACTAAGTATTTCTATAATCCGGAAAGGTCCAGACCATCGAGGTGCTAATTTTTGTTTTAATCCTTTTGGGGTGACAACTTCCTTTAACAGCACTCTGTCTCCCACCTTATATTGTGGGGGTTTATTTTGTTGACGATGTCGTTCCTGTCTTATCTCTGCCGCTTGTTCCGAGTACAGTCGACCCCCTATAATTACGGTCCCTATAGTTACGATTCCTATAAAACTACGAAAAAATCGCTACCGGTATCCGTAAAAATTAGTAAAAGTTCCCTATAAACACCTCAAACGTCATCGGGAAGCTGAACTACTTTCCCGCCGTCCGTAGCGCCACGCTACGGAGAGATTTCTATCGTCTGGACAGTATTGTATAAATTATATATAAATTAGGTACTGTACATATAATTATATATTAATTATATATAAATTAGTTACTGTATATATAATTATATATTAACTTATTGTAATTTTGTTATAATTAAATATATAATTTCCGCCGTCTAGCGTGGCGCCACGCTACGGAGATTTTTACGCTAACTATCGTCTGTCAGTATGTAAATTAGGTACCGTAAGTCTAATACAGTACTGTAATTTTATACATTTCTTGTGNTGTAGTCTCCTGTTCTGCTTCTGGTTCGAGTTCGGAGATATCTGTTTCTGGCTCGAGTTCGTCGCTTTCACTTTCACTTTCTGGTTCGGGCGATTCCTCTGGTAGTTGGATAGGGATAGAGGACATGATAAACTCATCCCACGGATCTGTATATAAAGCTTGCTGGTCGTGCGTCACGGGTGGCAAATTATTTCCTGTCGAGGCGTTGAGAGTACTGGGTTGATCGACAATTATGTCGGGTTCTAAGTTATATTCTTCTCTAGCCGTCGTGGGTTTAATTCGATCCGCATGTACGTTTAATTTCCTCCTCGTTTTGATATTTTCGATCTTAAAATTAACTAGACTAAGTATTTCTATAATCCGGAAAGGTCCAGACCATCGAGGTGCTAATTTTTGTTTTAATCCTTTTGGGGTGACAACTTCCTTTAATAGCACTCTGCTTCCCACCTTATATTGTGGGGGTTTATTTTGTTGACGATGTCGTTCCTGTCTTATCTCTGCCGCTTGTTCCGAGTACAGTCGACCCCCCTATAATTATGGTCCCTATAGTTACGATTCCTATAAAACTACGAAAAAATTGCTACCGGTATCCGTAAAAAATAGTAAAAGNGTTAAAAAAATTAATATTCCTAATTGGCTCGTGTCAGAAGAAATAAGGCGTGACTTCTGTAAATGATACTACCGCTAGAGCTCCGATGCAACCCGGAAAAGCAGACAATATACGTCATCAGTCTAACGGTCCTTGTCTGACCTACTTTTTACGAAATAAACATTAGAGTAAAACGTAGTAAGACGTAGTAAATTATAGTAAAACGGTCTTCTCTAATATTCGTAGTACTTTGTAAAGTTTGAATTTCAATTAAATAAATACTATTTAGTTCTTAAACATTAAAAAGACATCATTAAGTAGGAAAATAACATAAAACTTTATTTTTTAGTATAATACAATTTACAAAGTAAAAAGTACCTATATAGTAATATTACGGAAAAACTAGAGCGAAACAAAGTCGACTAATTTAAATAAATTCAGTTCATTATATAACTGTCGATACGCTTGCCTTTATCAAACAAAATTCGAAAACTTCAATTAATCCTGTAAATATTTTATGCGCCATTACTATTCGAATGACATAACATTACATCAATCCTGAATTTTACATATATTTGTAATTACAGTTACAAATTAAATAAAAAATATATTCTTTATAAACTCTAGGCCGTAATAATTAAAACAAAATTGTTAAAGTATAAATTTTTCAAATATTTTCTGATCGAGTAATACGCGATGCTTTTTTCATATTAGTCTAGTCATATTCTACGAATACTTTCTATATTCAGATCTATTTAGTTTCATCTAATTACACTTAAAATGTAAAAATAATCTACCAACAAATTAATTTCCTAATAAATGGAGTACTTGCTAATTGAACTTGTATTCTTCTTAAACGTTGTTTTACGAAATAGCACTAAATCGGTAGAAATTCTAACTTACAGGCTTATAAACACTAAAAAAACATAAATGTTTTCGAAATTAGGACTAGATAATTATATGCACAAATAAATTAGTAAGCCTATAATACATACTCTCACTTATATCCAAGTATTATATCCAAAGATCAGTTCTCGATAATTGTCGAAAATAAATTATTTTTTAACTTTTTTTCCTGTAGCATATTCTAAAACAAGTTCTAAATTCACAACAGAATTTCCACCTTTTATCCACTAAAAACAGCGCATCCAACAGTGTATCCATACACGAAATAAAAATTTATCGCAGTGAACTTCGGAAGATAACGAAAAACAGTAAACTGAACTCTACGAAATCTGGCGCCAACTGATGAATATGGGATAAACTGAAAATACTCCTCACGTGACCAAAGGATAAATTTTTCTGAATAAACGCTAAAAGTTTTGAAAAATTCTTCCATGAAACTCGATGAATTTAATTAATACACAATATCTATATATGTTTAATAAATATTAGTAATTTACCATTATAATTATGCAAATTACATATAAAAAAATCACTGCGCAAAATCTCCCGCGAACCATTGGATGATGCTCACGTCACGTGGAATTGAAACTTTCCTGCTAAACACTAAAAATTTTATATAATTATTTTATTATTTCACTCAGATTTAAATAATATAAAATGTCTACATTTGTTTAATAAAGATTAGTTATGCACTATAACAAATATGCAAATTAGATGGGAAACAGATGGCTGCTGAAATCTCCCGCCAAGTTGATAAATATAGAACGATCACGTGACCAAAAGAAAACACCGAGAATTATAAAAAAATATGTTTATAATTTAATGTTTTGGGTACAAATTAATCAAATTTAACAAATGTCATCGTTTAAAATTTAATGTTTTGTACAAATTAGTAAATTGTAACAAGTTTCATCAAAGACAAGAGAATAATTTTCAGCTTACATAAACTGTACAATAAATGATTATTTATTCGAAAGAAGTCGATATACACGAATAAATAATAATTAATTAATAATGCTTTTATTCATTTTAAGTCGATATTCAAAAAGTTAAGCTATTTAGTTTGCGTTTGGAATTTACTATAACTGTTTCCGAGTATTTTTCTGTAAAATTCAATTTATTCAACAGAAACAAAAATAAGATATTAAATATAAACAGCACAATACAATATTTTTTACGTAAATTGAGTGTAAATACAGAAAAAAATTAATTATATCAAAGATGCGACGAATAAGCTGACATCCCTCCAACACAGCTTATAATTCATAGTCAAATTTTTGCTTGGTTTCGACTGTTTTTTGTAAATAAAAAGTTAATGTTTTAGGATAAAAGTACCTATTCTTAGTGAAAGAAGGTTAAAGTATCAAAATATAATATTCAATCGTAAAAATATTCATATATGTCGATATTAGAAATGTATATATTTTTTCGATATTTGAAATATTATTACAAAAACATTATATATGTGAAACACGGGCCATAAACAATTTCTTTCTGTCAAATAGATTATAGATTAGACAGGTTTATTTAGAAAAATTCAATCGCGAATACCTGACGTTAAATGTACAGACAGTACAGTATGCTTTTTATGTGAGAGTATCTGCGTTTACAAATTAACAGAATTTTCAGTTTTTTACACATTATTATGCTATAATCTAGGAAACTATGTGTAATATATAATACATACTACAGAAAAAGTAATAAAGGAACGTCAGTCATTGTAACTAATGTATTATCGAAAGTTTTATTCATATAGATAATTAATTTTATCAAGAAACATTTCTCCAAAAGAAAATTGTCGATATTTCACGTATATATAAGTAAATTTTATTATAATTTAGATAAAAACACATTTCTTCCCCACGCATTGCATCTTTCCCTCCCTCCTAATCTTACATTTGAAACATTCCATTTCATAATTTGATGTAATAATTACGATTAAAATGACTTCTAAATAAAATAATAATACTCAAAGTAGGTTAATATATATTGTCATGGGTCTCAGGTGTGATATAATATAATGGTCGATATAATAATATTTTGTCACGTGCTCCATGTGTTGAAGTTTGTAGCTGTAATTGAAGGTAATGTATAAGGAAACAAAATGTTTATATTATCAATAGAAGCCAGAAGAAACAGACGATCACATGACTATCAAGGACATTCTATAAATCTTTTCAAATTTCTAATAATTTACCCAAAAATTTTAAATGTTGCTTTTATGTATTCATAAATATTTATTTGCCCAACTGTTACCTAAATTGGTTTAAAATGTGTACAATCTTATTTTGTACGTTTTACAATTTACGTGCATTTCCACATAAATAAGTCTGAAGGAAAGCGGAAACGGAACCTACGTCAACTTCCTTGCAACTTCGCTGGCAATGTATTATGTCACGTGATTTGAAGTTGTCAATGAACAGCTTTTTTAAATTTTTACACACGCTTCGTAAATGTGGTAGCTTTGATAATCAATAATGACCGAAAAGTTGATATAAAAAGCGACTTTAAAATTTTTGTTTTTCAATGTTTAGCAAATTTGTAAATGAGGCCAGAATCTAATATAAGCAGCGAGAAAAATGTTCGTATTCGAAATAGTGTTATAAAAGCTTATATAATTTATCTAAATGCTTTATTTTACATTTATTTTTTTGTAAATCTTTCTTTTATAAAATGAAATAATTTGTACAACTTGTAAATTGGATGCAATGTTCTGTAAATGAGTTTAGACCAAAACAGATCACCGCTTACTGAGAGAGGACCTTCGGATTATCACGTGACCTACAGTTCTATCTCACAATAGCGCTATAAAAACAATTTTATTTTTTTTTTATCCGAGCGCTATTTATAATTTGGAATAATTAAATGTTACAATAAAAATTTTAAACTTTTCGAAATTCGATTAATTTAAAAATTAGATCGTTAAACCGGACACGTTGTAAATCTGTCATAGAATAAGTAATTAGTTATTGATACTTTTATAAAAACTAATTATCGCGCCTGCTTTTTCCGTGCAACTAGTTGAGTGTTCTACATATGGTAGAGTGACGTCATTACTATAACTAATAAAAATTTTACAAAACACGAAAATAGAGATATAAAAAGTACTTTATTTGTAAAAAAAATCAAAATTTATATTTAAAAATTCACAATCTTAATCCCGACAATGAAAAAAACCGCACACATCTTGAATCTGAAATATTACAATATATACATGGACGAAAGTTATGATGTAATCCCTAAAAAACATTATTCTTCGCGAAAAAATTAGATAATTGCTATGAATAAAAGCTGTAAGAGAATTATTGCTTAAAAGAAAATCAGTAAAATTCTCAAATTATTGAAGAATAAATTGAATAAAAGTTCAAGTATAAATTTATTTAAAACTGAAATAAAATTGTTAGTAATGATTAGCTGTAAAAAATATATTTATAAAATAAATAAATTTTAAATATATAAGCAATTACATTGAATAAAAATTCAAATATAAATTTATTTAAAACGTGTATAAGTATATTTATTAATAAATGCTGCAATAAATTAGTGTTTATAATAAAAAGATATAAAATTTAAAAGTATACTAAATAATAAATAAAATCTGGAATATTCAAATTGAAATTAAAAGTGTAAA